GCAAGCGACGCGGACTACTATGCCCACTAGAACGTATCATTCGCGTATCAACCGCGTATCATTCGCGTGTCATATCCGTATAGTTCCTGTTTTCTCAGTTGTAGTAGTTCACCGGTGTTTTCGCGTGAGGCAGCCGCGTCAATAAGAGCGAGTGAATATTTTTGTTACGAAAATTATTTTCTATACCTATAGATTAGGTTTAGGCTATTAGAAACTTGTCCGACAGAAAATTAACAATGATAGCCATTGTTTTAGACGAGAAAGAAAGAGAATAACATCAGTCGATCACGACGTTACTAGGTTCACGCCGTTTTAAAAAAATATTATTTAAAAGAAAATATTATCACTAGAAGACAAGCGACAACACGTTTATAATGGTCTTAGAACAGTCATCATACGCAGTTATAACCCGTGTGCTCACCGTTTCGCCGTCCGCGCGCACCGGTTCGGCAACGTCGCGTACCAGGCACGGAGCGTATCGGCACCGGCAAAATATTCTTGCCGACAATTATTGTTAACTTTTCATGCACGGCAAGCGACGGTTTTGGTCGGTAACGGAAAGGTCTTGGTCGGTGATGGAACGCTCTAGTGGGCATAGTCTCATACTTTTCAATAAAAATATTTTTTTGCCTGACATGGTCTCAGTACTGTCATGGTATGAGACTGTTTAGTGAGCAGAGACCATTAATTAAAATTAAAGGTCTCTACCTTAAATAGTCTCTAAATAGTTGGTTAAATTTATTCTGTTTTTATTTCCTAGATTGTATGTGTCAAAATAATGAAAAAATAATAATAATAATAGATTACCTTGATTGTTAAGTGTATAATTTATTCTAACGTATACCTTACTCAATCCTTGTGTAGGTATTACGTATAAGGTATACCTACACAAGGATTGCTAGGTTTATATCTGTTTGATAATTATCTGATAATTATCGTGATAATTATCAATAGATATATTTATATTGATAATTTCATACCCTGATTATTTTCGTAAAACAAGGTCTCATTACGTATTTTATTTATTTAGTAAGGTCCTGTAAACTTTGTCCCCACATTTTTCAACACAGTCCCCTGCCAAAAACTTAAAGTCATAATAAATAATAATTGTTTATTTTTAGTTATTTAGTAAGAAGAAGCAGTTAGGGCTTTAGCGTAATAACGAGTCTATAGCAAGTTAATAGTGAGTAATAAATATTAATTAAAGTACAAAAAGATACATTTCATTAGACAAAGATGAATAGAGTCGCGACGCAGTACTAACTTGATATATTGTTTTAGAATTCTTGCAAATATATTAGGTATTGTTTTGATATCATTTTCAATAAATATATAAGCTGCATAATAAAAGATTATACCTACATATAATATTTATTTATACATATAATATTGTATATATAAACTACCTCGGTGGTGTAGTGGCTAGCATGTACGGCTGCACACCCGGAGGTCCTGGGTTCGAGCCTCGGGTCGGGCCAAGTTAGTTATTGAGTCTTTCTGTATAATAAGCCTCAGTAACAGCCTGGAGTTAGGAAGTTGGCGGTGTTTCACCCCCGTGCCTCGGAGAGCACGTAAAGCCATCGGCCCTACGCCTTAACTCTCACTGGTCGTGTCGAGTGGTCGTCCCACCAGAGTATGAGAGTGACAGCAATAGAGAGTGCACTTGTGTCTGCGCGTACAATTGTGCACTAAATCTCCTGCGCAATTGGCTAGTCTCAATGAGATTGGCCGCCGTGGCCGGAATCGGTCAGGACTCAGGAGAACATCATCATATATAAAATTACCATGTATTGCTATGCATAATAACAACGAGATTAATTGAAAGTGTTATTTAGACGAGCTTTTATTAAAACTATATGTAACATCATTCATGCAAAGCAAATAGCGTAGCCATGACTTGTATAAGAATTCAGGATAAATAAATATAAATATATAGTAGACATAAAAAGTAGATGGATCTGTTTTAATTTCAAAGCAAAATAACATAATTAATTAATATTACTTTTATAATAATTATCTTATAGAATACTCGTGTTGTATTTAATTTTCAATATAATATAATAATCAAGAAACCATAATAAAACCTATAATCACTTCAAAATTAACTGTCATAAATAGAAATTTTAATAAGATTATCTCATATTTATTTTTACCACCTGGCAACACTATTTCAATCAAGATGTTAGATGACCAATTTAAGATAAGATGAGTGATTCACAGCAATTGTTTTTATTATCTTTCTTGCTCATATATTAGGCAGAATAGTGGATGACTTTTGTTCTTTTGTTATGTAAAATTATAGTCATTACAATTTAAAATATTGTAAACCTTTTTTAGTACAAAATTAAACAATGATTCCCAACAATTTAAAATTTGTAAATACCTTGTTTTAAAGAAGGTAATACTTTAATCATAACAAATTTCAATTATCACTATAACATAAGATTTTAAGTAACCTCTACCTATAAAAACATCTTTTAATAACAACATTTTTAGGGTTCCATACATGAACGGTGCCTTATTACTAAGACTCCACTGTCCGTCCATCTGTTTGTCAGTGAGCTGTACCTCATGAACCGTAATAGATAAAGTTGAAATTTCCAGTTTGTATTTTTATTGCCCATATAACAACAAATAATAAAAATCAACATGGCAAATTTGAAAATGGCCGCCATGTAAATTAATAAAAAAAAAGATTAGTACATAGGGTACCGAACCTTTCGTTTGCGTGTCTGACTCACACTTGTTTTTTTTATTTTACTATTGGCTATGACTGTTTCAAAATGAGCCTAAGTAACTTATTTACACAATACTGTTAATTTATGAAACATGCATTAGAGTTTAGACTGTTGTTGGCATTGACTTAATGAGAAAATCAAAGTTTGTTAGTCAGCAAGACAATAATATATTTACTTTGTAATTAGTAGATATAGTGGGTACCTTAACTATACCTCTATTTATAAAAAAAACAATCCCTAAATAAAAAAAATATCTCTCATGATGTCTAATCCAGCGGTTCTCAAATGGTGGTCCGCGAATCCTTTGGGTTCCGTGGAAGAGTCACAGGGGTTCCAAGTTCCCCCCCCCCCCCAACGTGCGTTCACCTTGTCGTGGTGGGGGGGCTTAGTAGTGTCCGGCAATGCAGCCGGGCGCGAAGCCAAGAAACGCGCAGGGAGGTGGCCCACTTCGGTGGGAGGTGGCCCTCTTCGGTAGGCGGTGTACCATGCGGGTTGCTCCTGGTACTTCTCTGATAGCAAAGTGGACCTCGGATCAACCCCATGGTTGTTGTGGTCTGCTTCAGCAGACCTGCCGTCGGGACCTCGTAGTTGAATGCGTACGCGATCTTTTCGTATCCCAGTTTGCCTTCAAACTCACCATTCTCGTTTTTTATAGTATATAATGAATATCAGTGTTTAAAATTGCATCTCTTTTGACTTGATTAAAATTAATATTAGCTATCTTCTATATTTTTGAAAACATACTTCTTTTAGGACGTTTGGAAAAAAATTATGAGAGTAAAATTTTTACGATGCTCGCGCACGCAGACATCCTAAAAGCGACATAATGAAGTTAGCTGATAACTGTTTGTTGCCATGGTAACCATTATTATTGTCTGACAAATTATATTATATAATATTCTTTTCTTAACTGATATTCTATAAACATATGATTGTAATATGCCTAATATGCCTAATTTAATTATTGATTTGTTTTACTTTAATTGCGTTTTTTTATTAATTTATCATTTTTTAAGCAAACAGAGAGTTGGGGATGAAATCTTTAGCTATTTTTGTTGTGTTACGCCAAAGAAATATAACTTCTTACATGCATACATAACAGTACACACACACTTTTTTTTATTATATCTACTTAACAGACAAATATGTACAGAAAAACCAAATTTGCTTATTTATGGAATTTTGTTTCAATTGTTACTTATTTTAATCTTTTAGTTCTAAGTGTATTTATTTGAAAGATATCTTACAATAAATTCTATATAGGTATTGTAATTGCATAAATGTGATTCGCTCTAAAAGCAATAAACAAACATCTGGCCAATGAAAATTGTAGTCAATGTTATATATCTTTGCATATGGAATTGAAATGATTGCTGTTTTGAAACAAAGTTATACAGAATATAATTCAAATGTAAAGTTTTTATGATATTTACCAAAGATTAATAACTAATACATTTGTAAATTATTAATCAGATATAACTAATCTAAATAGATAAAAGTGTGTAAGTCTAGATTGTTTTATCCTTATATATTTTTTCTATTATGAAATAATAGAATATATATATATATTATTTTTTTTAAATAAAATTAAGTTATCATCATATAATTAACAATCCCTAAAATTTACAATAAATAAAAGAAGTGCTCTTTTAATATTGTATGTATAATACCCATATAGTTATATACATATGCAAAGTGTGCCAAAGGACACCAAATAATTATTATGTAAGGGTCATCATAGGTCACCTTCGGGGTCAATCAAATTAATAATATTCGTTCTTTAAAACACATCATACTGTAACAGCATATGTATAAAAAAGGACCAATTAAATTAATATACATAAAAGCTTAATCATTTAAATAAAAAAAAAAAATCACTAAAAAAACAGCAGAGATCTATATACAACATCTTGTCTATGCAATGAAAGGTAATTCTGCTTGTGATTCAAATGATAAGCTAAAATAAGATAAAGACTATCTTGAAAGAGAATCGTTATTATGCATTATATATTTATTTTAAAGATAACATATCTCATATTACACAACCCTTTAACGAAGAAAAATTAATTGATTTATTTCACCAGACTAGAATTTTTAAACTTGATAAGAAAATTCAATTGTTTAATTGTACATACATGTTTTAATAGATTTTAATGTTAGTTGTTAATGTTATTCAAATAGATAATAAAGTTGCTAAAACAGTAGAAATTCAATTTTATTTGAAAAATTTACAAAATGGTAAATATAGTATTTGTTAATTACCTGGTGGACTGTCAGTCAAAATGGTGATGCCAGAAGGATCAACATGAGGAGGAAATGCCTCATACAGATCAGGCTCCTCTTCAAGCACTGCTGACAACATGACGGAGGGCATCCCGGCTCAAAGCCACACACTATGACTAGACACTACACTAACACTGCACTATCACTTAGTTAGCCTGTCTCGATCGCGACTCACACCCAGATGCACCCTACGGCCATCACTAGCTCATGTACCACCGTCCCCAACACCTAAGTCAAATCTTGCTGCACCATTTTCAAATCTGAAAGAAATGAATCTCAAATAATGACTAAGAACTATGTCAAGACCGCTTATTATTTTATAAGCGACGCTATCTTCACGATAAGGTATATATTATTTAGTAGTAACTCTGATCAACGTCGCTAGTGAAATAATTATCGAATTGAATATAATTAAAACATTGTTGAGATCAGCTGATTGCTTTTGCTGCCAGAAGGGGCTCGATATTTTACAGCTATTTTAAGACTATACGGCAGCTGATCGGTTGGTCTTCAATGTCAGTACGCTAGTAACGCACGAATTTATAATGCGTGGAACGCAAAATCGCAATTTATTTGAACGTGAACTCACCGAAATCCTGACGATAAATGATGCGGAGCAGGATTTTCGACTCCGTATTTACCGCTTTGGAGTCCCCGCGACGACTAACCCAAGTACCCAGTTCCCGGCGCAACGTAATCACGGATGGGATAATAGTGTTGAGTGGGAGCCGACGCTTTTGCTTTGTCACTTAAACGAACCACACAGTACATCACAGAGTTATATCAGTAACTGACCATACGCACGGGTACATTGTAAGATTTATTCACTGATATGGGAAATAATTTGCAACCTGAGTGGTCTAATCTAATTATCGATATATCCGGTGAAAGTCGTACATGAATTTTAAAAGAAGATATTTTCTTTATAGTGACTGAATCGTTGTTAGATTAAAATAAGATTTTCTTTATTAATGAAAATCTTGACAATCAAGAGAACTGCACGTCTGTTTTATTCGCGATTTGCATGAAATCGAAATGTAGTAGAAAACTGGAATCATCGCCCACCTTCTTCCAATAAAAAGCATAGACTAAAGTCTAAACCATTAAAAGCACAAAGTTCATAAAGCGAAGTTCACAATATGAAAATATTGTATAATCTAAATTTTGTTATTAAAAATCTATAATATTATATAAATATCACGTTCATTATTTATTTATTTAACTATTGCAATAACTTTGTGTAACATATCAGATCAAATACTAACTTGCTTTAAAAAGTAATTATTTATGTTTGTTTCTTTTTTTATATTTTTTTCAGTCTAAAAATAAAAATCATTGTAATTAGAACACTTAAATATATGTTTACTACTTAAATAATTAACTCTTTTCAAAATTTCTTAAGGAACATATACAAGAAATAAAGTTGGAATTCGGAGCTAACTGTTGAATTATTTTTATGGAAAATTTAATTTTATATCATATTGTTGTAAAATGAAGTATAAAATTCAATAAATGTACATGTTGAGTGTGGTTTTATACATAATAATTTTTTTTTTGTAAATATGCTTTTAAAAAAACCGCCATGAATGTAATACAACCAGAATTTTCAAAGAAAAGAAACTAAAGCAAATTTTCTGGTACGAGTATCCATTTATCTCAAACGCTATCATAGACAATATTATATTCATAGGCATGTATTTATTATTTTTACACTACATGAAAATTACAGTATAGACAAAAAGATTTCTATTATTAGTGTTTTATTATAATTTCCAATGCATAATTTCATAATGACGACATTTCAATCTAAAAAATAATTTGAATCTGTCGACTGTGCGCTGTCAACTTGAAAGAAGTTAGAAGGTTTAAAATTTGCATTTTGTGATTGTCAATTGTCATACTTTGACAGGAGTCTGAGGTTTTATTTGTCATCCATGGTCTGAGGAAAAGTTCTAATAGACCATTGCGTTTAATTATATTCAAAAATAGTGAATTTATTCCCAAAGTAGTGATTTTGTAAAAAAAAGTAGTAAATGTAGCTGTAAAAATGATTTCATCGAAATCTGACTGCCTTAAAGGTGATATAATAAATATGTTTATTGTACCTACTATTTTGTCTGTAAATAAGTTCGTCTGGCGTCAACTATATTTATTATTGTTTTCCAGATACTGTGACTGTTTTAATAAACGCTATTGGAGATAACGATAACGCTGTCAACAATGTTGTAATTAAATCTCTTACGAAAATAGCGAATATCCATCCAAATGAAGTTATTGAAATATTTTGCGACTTTTACAAAAATACAGTAAAGAGCAACGTTATACAACTAGGAAATATAGTGAAGTATGTATTTGTGCACAAGTATTTATATTTGCATATTACACAATAACCAGTAACACTTGATTATTTTAATGTGTCAAGTAGCATTTTAGTCTTTATTTATTCCATTCTTTAGTAATTATATAAATTTTAAGTGACATTATGTTTTTCTTTTCTTAAATCACAATAAAAAATGTGACCAATTTATTGCTAAAATCTTCTACAAAACTTAAATTTACAAAATTAAATCTATACTTTTATTATAAAGAGGCAGAGTTTATTTGTTTGTATGTTAGTTTGTTTGTTTGTTTGTTTGTTTGTTTGTTTGTTTGAACGCACTAATTTCAGGGATTACTACTCCAATTTTAAAAATTGTTTTTGAATTGGATAGCCCATTTATTGAGGAAGGCTAAAGGCTTTGTATCATATAATATATAGTCTATCTATTCCATAATAACCATTAGTGAGTCACTAGTCTATGATGTAACTGAATTTTTAATCTAAAATTACAAGTGAGCATGAGCATAAACATTTTTAGGGTACTGGAACAGACATGTGTAAATCAAGTGAAGAAAATAGATTCAAAAATTGCAAATGAGCTTGTAAACTCTATGCTCCGTGCGATGATGGAGAATCCAAACTATGAGCCTGTAGTACAAATGGGGGCTTCAGCTGTTTTGGTAGCTATTGGGCATGAATACTTGGATCTGGTGAGTAAAAAATGTTCAAAAAATGTTTTTTTATTTATGTATCTTACTAATATTATAAATGTGAAAGTTTAGATGTTTGGATGGATGTTTGTTACTCAATCACTCCAGAACGACTGAGCAGATCTGGATGAAATTTGGCACAGAGATAGATTGTAGTCTAGAATAGCACATATGCTACTTTTTATCCTGGAAAAATGTATGGTACCCATGGGGTAGATTTGTTTTTGTGTTTCGGTTTTCTAGTAGTATATACTAAGTGTGTATTGTATTATATCAAAATTTGTAAACTTGTGTTCTATTAATATTTACAATTTTATAAAAATATTAAATACAAAATCTTATTTAAACAGTATACAGTTGTGTTATAGATAGCTTAGATTTTTGTACTAATCACCTACTTTATTTAAGGTTTACTTTTATTATAGTAAGTACATAAATCTGGCTTACTGACTGTGGCTTCTTGTTTTAATTAACATGACCTACATACTGTTTTAATTAGAATTTATTTTTATAGTATTTTACGTAGGTTTTATTGGCAGATTAGTTAAGAAATATTCTGATATAAGAATAGCCAGTTAACTTCATATTAATACATATGTATGTATATTATAGGATATAGGAAATTATATAATGAGAATATCATTTTATATCATATATAATATGTTGTAAAATAATGTAATATATGTATGTATAATTTTAGAAACATATCAGTATAAATGAAGTTGTTTTAAAGAAAATGCACATATATATACATAATATATGTTATGTACTGAACACTGAATCTATAATTAATGTAAGAAAAATAAAATAATGTTTCTTAGGACAATTCCTAATAAAAATTCCTAGTAGAATAAGAAAGGGCCAATAACTTCTTATAGTTTGTTCTTAAATGTAGTCTTACCTTTTTTTATTTCTGTTTAATGACATTGGAAATTGATATTAATGATGCAAAGAAAGCAAAGCTAACTTGTTTTCAGTCTGCCCCAAAAGTGAATTGAAGATTAAAAAAATATTGTTAAATATAAGAACATTTTAATGAAAAACAAAAAACAAAATCTGACTGACTTTTGCTATATAATTTACTCTAAATCTCCTACAGGTACTTCGCTCTCTCATAAACCAAATGACACCTGCTTCTGTACCGCACTACACTATAGCACACACACTAGGAACTCTTGCTGCAGTCAATACCCATGGGGTGGTGCCTCATGTCAAGGAAATTCTTGGCAAAATGCTACCTTTACTCACTTTGGTCAAACAAGATGGTGTCAAACAAGCTTTTGCTTATGGTGAGTGTATATTATACACATATTTCATTTTTTTAGTTAATTAAGTACTACTTGAGTTTTAAGTTTATATAATTAAATGAAAAGTGGTTTTGAGGTATAGTAAAACCTTTTTGTTTGAGAAAATAGTCAAATCTTTTTTTATAATATAAATATAAATTTGAATTAAATAATTAGATTTATTTATCTTTTTTAATGTATAGGTTAAACCTGAACGTAGCAAATTATGCGGTTGCATTACTCTGAACTTAAATAACACATGTGTGCCTCATATAGCAAAGTGTCTGAACAAATATTTTTCCATAAAATAATGATAAAATATTTTTACGGATCATAAATATTGCTATATATGTATATTTATTTCAAGTATTTCTTTATTTCAGCTTTCGGACATTTTGCAGTCGCTGTGTCTGAGCAAATAGGTGACAACGTTGAAAATGACAATATTACATCTATTAAAGACAACTTTGTTACGGAATTTACAATAGTCTTTGACGTGTTATACAACCAATGGCTGCCATCCCATGAGCCTAAAGTATCGGAATCAGTGCTCGAAGCTTTAGGCCCTATCACTCGTCTTATATCAGAGAGACAGTTCAATGAGACTGTCAATAAATTTGTGCTCTCCCTTTTATCTCTTTATCGCAAACCAGTCATCAATTTCTATTGCATTAGTCAATGTATTTCCTATTTGTTGTCTCCTTCGCCATTGAACCCAAAATTGACTCTAAATGATAATGTGATCAATTCAATAAATAACGTGCTATTTAATTTGGTCCTTCTCGAGCCGGATTATGACCAGCCCCATACAGTGAAGAACCATTTCGAAGTACTTCGTTGTTTCGACCACATGACGGGACAATTCCCAGATCAAACCGTAGAGAATTTGTTACATCACTGCAGAAATAATCAGGAAAAAGAGCGAATGAGAGCCGTTATAATATTGACGCATTTGACAACTTCGTCTCAAGTATTTATTGAAAACTTCGCAACGAAGTTTATAACTATATTGAAAATTATGATCGCTATGGAGCAAGGGATTAAAATGAAAAAGTTGTTAGTTAAAGCGATAGTCGGACTCGTGTATAGAAATTGTATAATGGCATCTGAAGATTTTGCTATGGTCGAGTTTATTATAAAGCATTGCGGGTACGAAGCTCCTGCTAATGTTCCTAAAGCTGATGTTTTGGACTTGCACGATACTTGCAGGAGCTCATTAATACTAATGTGCAATACTGTCACGAGTGTGCGCACACAATTACGCAATTTGTTGTTAATTGCTCTAACTATAGATGACTTTACGACATCCATGTCCACTATAACACATTGCCTGACTTCTTTATTGCAAAATAATTCCGAAATCACTGAAGAGCAGTCAGATAAAAGTAATGAAGTGTTATGTTCACCAGATTTGGTTTTCGTTCGTTGCATTACTCACGTTGTTGATCCAGATCAAACAGAGCTGAATAAGAATGTGCTCATATTTCTTGAAGAATTTTCCGGTGATATTCATAAGAATTTAAAAAATTCTTGGACTATTGAGATTCAGAGATTGCTGAAATTTGTGGAAAAAAATGAATCGAAAGAACAGTGGCAAGGCATGCTGTTGAGCCTCCTAGTCTCTGCAGTGGAACAAGTTAATAGTAATAAGTGGGTAGAAACCATTTCGACGTTAATTTCTCAACAAATCATGGCCAAAAAGCAACCGCCAATAATAAAAGGCGTATCTTTGCAGTACTTAGCTGTTTTATCGTGTCACATGTCTAATGCAGCCGTTGTTGAAACAGTTCTGAAAATTATTTTATTTGCGCTAAAATCAATCCCTATAGAAAGTGTTGAATATGTCAGCAAAGCCGTTGGCATCGCTTCTCGGCAACACGGCGAGTTCGTTCTAAACGAATTAGATGCGACATACAAGGAAAATGAAGCGAGACGTGGGAACAAGTTTATAAATTTTCTTTCCTCTAGATCTTCTAAAACTGAGGCTGAATTGGCTTCGGTCAAGTATGCAATAATAACTTGTTATGGCCAAGTGGCATGTGAGTGTCTCGACGTACACGTGTTAGCAAGACTTGGTGAAAACGTTACGTCTATATTGTTTGAGATTTTGAAATCAAGTCCACCCTTTGATTTGTGTAAAGCTAGTGTTACTACGCTTTACGAAATAGGCAAAGCTTTGCATCCAGCCTCCCATCACAACGTGGCATTGAGAAACCGCTGGCAATTACTAAATGCTGTCCTTGAACAGATATACAATACGAATCTCGAAAAGCGCAATGTAGAGTTATTCCCAATAGTAGTGAAAGCATCGAAAGCGCTAACAAAATTACAAAAAGGTATCTTACCTGAAGAAAGGAATACCATATTACGAGTTTTATTCAACAGTATATTCGGAGAGCTTTCATCATTCAAAAGAAAATACGAGATAGAAGGAAATGCAGACAAAAATGATCTTTTAGCAAAGACGTTAAACGATTCATTGAGCCTTTTACACGAATTAATTAGGGAATTGATTATCCAATCGACTTGCTTAAGCACAATTGATGACATCGTCACCTTGTTAATTGAATGGATGCGACATGAAAACGATGAGATTAGAACAGCATCTACGCTAATACTGCAAGTTGTTTTCGACGCGTATATAAAAAATGTTAAACTAAACTACGAAACGCCCAGCAAATTTGGTCAAATGGGTTTCTTATTGGGACTTATCGTACCCGGAGTCGCTGATACTAATTTTCCAGTTCGATTAACTACAGTGGATTGCATTAAATTGATAATACAGATCCAAGATTTATATGAGGGTCATATAGTGGAGCCGGAAGATGAATGTATGGCGGCGTTGTCCCATCTCCAAAACAATATACTAACGAACGACCTAAATATGATAAGCGATTATTGCACTAAGTTATGCGAAACTATAACACCAAAAATACCTCATCTGCATACTATGCAGTTTATCGAAAGTTTGCTAGAAGGTTATGATAACCAAGAGTTACGAAGTGTCGGGATAAGTTCAATTTTAGACTCCTTCATTATAACGAAAGGGCAAGATCTGTTCCAAAGTATTGAAAGGATTGTGGAGATACTGTTGATAACGATGGATGAGGTTGTGGATGATGCTCGTAAGAGGCTTTTGAGGCCGCTGACGTCATTGACACGACACCATTCCAATGCAGTTACAGCTGTTTTGTTAGCGCAAAGGATTCCTCTGAAAGGGTAAGTAAAATTTTATAATTTGCAGATTTGCCTTTTTATAGTTAGTAAGATAAGATATCTTGAAAGATTTTTAATATGTATGAAAAAAACTATTGAATTTTTGAAAAACCTATTGATTTTTTTAAGAAATACGTTTTTTAAAAAAGTAATATTATTTTAGGACACTATCTCCCGTATTTGTCGTAAAGCATTCGAAACGTCGGGAGCAAAAATATATAATAGCAAAATCCGAAAAAAATGTTTCATTTAAAATGTGATTTATATATTTTTAATATAAGACATGTTGTGCCCCGCGGTATTACCCGCGTTAAATTCGTTTGGTTATTATAAACATCAGTTTTACAATAATGTATGGCAGTCTGCCCGATTTGTTGGAATTTATGATTACTGCTCCGCTCCCTTGAATAGTAAGTAGCATGATGATATAAGGCTATGTCCTTCCTGAATAAACGGGCTATCCAATGCAAAAAGATTTTTTCAAACAAACAAATCTCTTTATAATATTAGTATAGATTGAATTTTAATACAATTTTCAGATGTGTCGTAGCATGCTGGAGATACTTAGCTCGAGACGAGACCCTGTCCGCCGCTATTGTCGACAACTTCCTGCGGTTGATGACTTCGATAGAATTGTATGAAGACCCATACCATATTACTGAAAATCATATAGCTGCTTTGCAACCTTTGACTGTAAGTATCTGAGAGACAAAATAAAAAAAAATAATCTTTTTGTACAATCTTTATTCATCTATAGAAATAAATAAGATTGAAGTGTCTGTTTGTTATGTTAAAGTAAGCAAGCTTTTCACTAATTGCATTTGAAAGTATATACGGTACCTACTTATAAGAAAAAAAGAAATTTTGTCTGTCTTTTTGTTCCCGCTAATCTCCAAAACTGCTAGACCGATTTTGACGGGACTTTCACTGGCAGATAGCTAATGTTATAAAGAGTAACTTAGGCTACTTTTATTTTTTTTAAAGAATCAGGATTCCGCGTAAAAAATTAAAACTTATGAAATTGTGAATAAAATCGTACCCGAGCGAAGCGAGGTTAAGTCGCCAGTTGGTATTCAATACAATATTTTTTCTTAGAAACTGAAAAGTTGTTAGCACGATGAGGAAAAGAAATTGTTTTTCAACAATTGTTAACAATAATTTCATTAATTAGTGTTAATAAGCACTGGTATTAAGTAAGACCTTGTGCCATTAATTCCATGCTGCTCTAACACACTCATTATAACTGCTCGAAAGAGTTTGGTTTTATTTGAAAGATACACTAATATACCACTAGCGACTTACGTTTTTTTGAGCAGAAACATAATTCTTTTTCTAAAATAAAAGTAACCTAAATTACGGCTGTGCCAGTGAAAGTACCGTCGAAATCAGTCCAGCCGAGATTCGCCGGAACAAACAGACAGACAGACAGACAAATTATAAAAAATGTAATTTTATTAAAAGTGCCGTATCATATAATTTCATATGCATTCAGTAAAAAGCTGTTATTTCGACATTACAAACAGACACTTTAATTTTATGTATCTGTATAGATATATAAATCTTATCATATTAAACTATTTCTTTCGCGCGTTTTCGCGGTTATATTTAATATTTGTTAAAAAATGAAACCGCGAAAAATTCCGAAAATAAAACCGAAATAAGTCTTATTTAAAATCTCAAATATTCGAGTTAATACAAAAAAACGTGTTTTTGTCCTTATGTATGCACGTAAGAAGTTATACTTCTTTGGCGTAACAGAACAAAAATAGCTAAAGATTTCATCTCGTATGTCACAACTCTCTGTTTGTAAAAGGAATGCAGCTAACTTCATAATGTCGCTTTTTGGCCGTCGGTGTGCGCGTGCATCGTAAAAATTTAACCCTCGTAATATTTTCCAAACGTGCCAAAAGCGGTATCCATTTTTTTCTTTAATATTTGTATAAACTTTCAGCTAATCAGTGCACTCGGGGAAATGTTACAAGAGGAGTCGATGCGTCCCATCTGCCTTGAGAAATTCCCGGATTTATTCATAGTTCTGTATACAACTCTGGCTTGTTACATAGAGGCAGAACCGCCGGCATACTCCCTCCCTCAGAATAAAGGGCAAGAGAGATTCGGGTTTATTCCCAATAGAGAAGCTATCAAGTTATCACCTGCGAAAATTACTATTAATACGTTTAATTTGTTTTTGGAAAGAGCTGATTGTTATAAGGTGAGTGAGAGTTTCCAGTTATTGTATGGAAACTGTCTGCCAGTGGTGTTGTTCATGTTTTGATTTTATTTAAGTGTACTTTGCTACTATTTCTTAAAGAATATTGTTAATATGAACTGTAATTTATTATATATTTTCATTATATTTATATATTGTATATTTTAATTATATTAATAATTATTTTTGAACGAAAAATGTTATGCCAATTTCATATTTCCAGTTATCAAGGATGGATTTTATTTTTAAATTTACATAAAATATTTAAGTTATAACCTAATACATTAAGAATATAATTACAAAATTCAATCCACAACTGATAAAGATATCAACAAATACTCCTACAAACTGAGCACTTCCTTATTCGAAGTCGGTTAAAAATGGCAAACTCAATCCAAGTTTGGCCGTTACAGTAATATTTAATTATTTTATTCTATTTTATTAAAAATAGAAATAAAAAATCATGCCTAAAATTCAACGCTTTATAATCTCACTATAATATTCTTCTCTTTTACCGATTCGTCACAAATGTAATTTATATTAAAAAGGCTATTAAAAAAGGTTCTAATAAAAATAGAAAAAGTATAAAGGGGATGTGTGTGTATATGTGTGCGCCACACAGGTGAAGGAGGCGTGCTCCCTCTGCCTCTCCATCGAGCACGGCGACAGCGCGCGCACGCTGCTGGAGCTGGCGCCGCTGCTGGGCGGCGCCGTGAGCCGCGCGCTGCCCGCGCAGCTGCCGCGCCTGCTCGCGCGCGCCGCGCACTACGCGCGCTCCGCGCTGCCGCCGCAGCGCTGCGCGGCGCTCGCGCTGCTAGCCGACTCCTTGCATTATAGGTGAATGCAGCGCTGCAGCGCTTTTTGTCTTTTGCTGCGTTAGTTGGTGTTTTGTGGTTTGTGTAGCGCTACATCACTTTTTGTCTTTTACTTTTTGGTACCACAGGATCGTGTTACATGTCAACAACAGAAACAATTTAATATTGTTAGCTTCAAAGCGTGCCAGTTAAGCATAGGTTACTTTGTTAATGTCATGTAAGGTGGAGAAGAAACGAAGGAGATTTGACTGTTATTGAAAAAGTCAATAATTCTTTATTAAAAACTCTTAAGATTAATTGATCGTTTGGACAAATATCTCATTGTCTTCCAATAATGAAATAACACGGTTAGCATATCTTAATCTCTCATATTGTCCTCCTATTGTTAACTGTATAATAAACTCATACTCAACCTAACCCATAGTCGTCCCATACTAAAACAAATATACCATAACCCACCCCAGATGCAACGACAACCCAGTGCTGATAGAGTCAGTGCTGTCGTCGCTCAGCACGGGGTGGAAGGACGCGCACGGGCGCGTGCGCGCGGCGTGCCTGCGCGGCGCGGCGCACGTGGCGCGCCTGCGGCCGGCGCAGCGCGGCGCCGCGCTGCCCGCCGCGCTCGCCGCGCTCGGCCAGGGCATGGACGCACACAGCGCCGCGTACGTTCACTCCTTTATATTTGACAGATGACATTATTTTCGACAGGTGACACCATCGATCAAAGAAGTACTAGATACACAATCAGAAAAAATGTCCTCACCGAGCGCACATTTGAATTGTGAACATTTCAGCGCACTTTTAATTTTGTTTTTTTTTTTCTGAAAATTACTTTAGGCATTACATTGGTAATATTTATGTAGTATTTATTATAACTAGAATAATTACCTAAACACAATTGGTGACACTTTTAAGGGAACTTTTACACGGGATTGTGTATCTAATACTTTTTAATCGATGGGTGACATTGACACATTATATAATAATAGAGACCAACGCGTGCCACTGCAACGATAGATTTACACGAATATTTGACATTTTAAATTTAAAACTAACTTTTAAATTTTTTTGGCGTTTTCGTTTTTTTACATAAATCTGCAAAAAAATCCTAGTAGATATTTTTATTTAAAATAAATGTAGGTAATTCTTTATTTTTGACATTAATATAGATTATATTATAATACTGACCAGATTGATATTTTAAATAAAAGTATCTTTTAAATTTTTTCGCGTTTTTTTATTAAATTAATCCGCGAAAATATTCTAAAAGATACTTTTATTTAAAATAGATGTGTTCCTTTATTATTGATAGTTGACATTGACACAAATATAAATATATAATTTAACTACTACAGTAGTAATATATAATTTAACGGTTCTAGCTAGTCACTAGAATATATTTGCAATAGCAGATTCGAAGGTCCTGGATTGAAGTCCTGAGTTAGGCCAACTTTAGTTATTAAGTCTTTCGACCAAAGACACGTCACGAGACCAATCTAATGAGCCTAGCCGTCTCTACAAGAGGTTATAATATAATGCATGAGTGTGTGCGCAAATATAACGTATATTCTATTTAACTTTAATATTCCAATGAGATGAAAACTCGACACAATCTCGGCAGAACTTAACATGGTCTCTGAGGCACTGGGGTGTACACACCGAACTTTCGACTCTGGGTTGCCACTCATTATTTTGTGACAAAAAAACCCCAAAACTATTTTATTTCGTACAAATTCGCCTAACCACCGACGACCTAACTAACCCAACAACTTTTTTATGTTGGGAAATGCATTCACGCATACCACCTGTAGACATACAGGTGGTTATTTGGGAATAACTGGCTCGAAAAGCCAGTGCTACCTACTAAAACCCAACAATTCCAAAACCCATTCTTAATGGGGCGTCGCAGGATGGCTTACGCACTCAACCACTCGGCCCCGACGGCAGGTCTGCCGAAGCAGACCACCACAACCATGGGGTTGCTCCAAGGTCCACTCTGCTATCAGAGAAGTACCAGGAGCAACCCGCATGGTACATCGCCCACCCAAGTGAGCCTCCTCCCAGTGTGTTTCTTGACTTCGCACCCGGCTGAACTGCCGGACGCTAATGAGCCCCCCCTTTTTTTTTTTTAACGTTGGGAAATGCACCCCCCCTACCACGACAAGATGAACGCACGTTGGGGGATTGCCAACGACATAGCTTAACTATAATACATTTTTCATTTGTGATTTTCAGATCTCCACTAGACAACGTACCACTCGCAGCCATACAAGGTCTAAGTCGTCTGCTCACAGATATAGAAAAATTAGAAAAGGAGTACGATAGAGAGCTATTATCAATCTCTCAGAAAATAAGACCGTTCATGAACACGGAATGCCCTTTGCTGAGAGAGAATTCTATACGATTATTTGGTATTATTGCGGGAAGAGTGAAATCTGAGGCGTTAGTGGAACAAGCTGTGACGTCGCTGCCTTGCTTTTTGTTGCATCTGTGCGATAATAATTTAGCTGTTGTGAGGGTAGGTACATTTTTTATATTTTGTTTTTTTTTTAATAGGAACTCTTTCTAGCTAAATTTCAGTCAATTTTATATTTTAGGATAATTTGTGTGGAGTTACTTTTTTTTGGAGTTATACTTCGTTTGGCACGTTTGGAAAAAATTATGAGAGTAAAATTTTTACGATACGCGCGCACGCCGACAGCCAAAAAGTGACATAATGAAATTAACTGCATTCCTTTTACAAACAGAGAGTTGTGACATACGGGATAAAATCTTTAGCTATTTTTATTCTGTTACGCCAAAGAAGTACAACTTCTTAGGTGTGTACCTACATAAGCACACACACACGTATGGTACGATTATATTAGACCGATGAATATGTATTATGTATGTATAAATAAAATTGTGCTAATACTATCAAAAATTATTATTATTATAGTATTAAATACGATTCAACAAAAATTGATTAATAATAAAAGATTAATCTTTTCCAGGCCAGCAAATTCACACTCCGCCAAGTTTTCAAAACGTTCAACGTGAAAAAGTCCAACGACTTTGTACAAACTCACCTGTTAGATGAAGGAAGGTTATATTTGGATGAGTTTCTTTCGGCGTTGCTGAGGCAGTTGGCAGATGAGATGCCAAGTTCCGTGGCCAAGTGCCTTCAGACGGCTGTGAACTATCTCCACTGTGCGAGGGAAGAGATGAAACCCCACCCGCCATTGTTGTTAGGTAAGATTCTGATTAAACTATTATCTGATAGCTGACTTGACGTCTTGATCCTAATTTCAATTTTATATATGATGTTTGAGTTAGATATATGTCCAGATTAATGATGCAATTTATGTCTCTTTGTATTAAAATTTCATCGATTTTTGTTCAGCGGTTAAAGCGTGAAAATGTAAAAAAACAGACGGACAGACATATTTTCACAATTTAATAAGAGTCTAGATTTACTTGATTTAGACTTTGGTAGATATTGATTCGAAAAGGTCTATGAATATCTTCAGGTCAAATGAAAACCCTGTAAAATGTGCGATTCTCATGTGGGGCACACGTTTGTATTTATATTTTACATATTTCCTAAAAAGGCAGAGGAAGGCATACACACTTTAGAAACAAATTAATTCCAGTAAAGATATTAAATAGAATAAAGCTTTAAGTACTTAATCTATATTAATATTATAAAGAGGCTAGAGTTTGTTTGTCTGAACGCGCGAATCTCAGTAACTAGTAATCCGATTTGAAAAATTATTTTTCCATAGATATCCCGTTTGTTTAGGAAGGCTTTAAGCTATATATATATAGCGCATAATTATATATCATGCTACTACCTATGCGAGGGGAGCAGTAATCATAAATTTTAACAAATCGGGCAGATTTCCATACATTATTATTGTAAAGGGAAGGGAAAGAAGCGTTTGTTTTTTTATACTTTAAATGCTGGCTAACCCGCGGGTTCTGCTAGTAACATCATAAAGCAAATGATATCTAAAATATAACCATACAAACATTTACAGGCCTTCTCTACTCAGAACTATACCGTATAAAGGATAAGTACCCCGACGATACAGACCTGGACCCTGAAATTACTCGTAATGCTCGAAGTCGACTTCTAACCCTTATAAAGGACCAAAACAGCCAAGTCCGACAGAACTCCGCCATGGCCCTCGCAAATATATGCCTAGTATCAACACTCTGACCCGATTGTTTGAAAATCAATCGAATGATCGAACTTCACGATGGCAGCTTTCTAGTACACATGCGGAAACGGGACTTGGCCAAAATAAATCGCTTGAGGATATTACGCTATAAATAATAAATTGTTTATTCTGATTAGAGTAACAGTTAAAAAATTATTTTTCATATTAATATAGATTTCTCGTTATATATATTTTTGATCTATATGAGAACTTGGCCAAAATTATTATTTTGGGAAAAAAACGTATGTATTATAGTGTTTTTTTTTTGTAGTAATTTTTAAGCTTCATGTATTTTCTTAAATCGACATTATCAAGTTTTCTTGCTTCGTTAAAAAAATTAAATAATTAATTAATCATTAATCTTAGTTATGTCTTATGAATGGTTAAATGTAATTTCGTATAATATTTGTTAAATTAAGCTCGCCTTAGGCTTAGCCAAAATATCTAATCTGCTTCAAAAAGCTGTTATAAAAAAAATGTGTTTTTCAATGAAAATATTAGAAATGCGGTAAGAAAGGGTTCACAAGGCATATTATATATATAATACTACTTCGCCATCAAAAACTTTCTAAGAAAAAAAACTTGGCCATTTCTACTCATTTTTTTTCATATAAATTTTTCATAAAAATCGACATTGAGTTTCTTTTGAAGTATAGATTTTTATGTGATATTAAAAAAGACAGGATTATTAAAGATGTATGCTTTGTTTGAATAAATAATATTGACTTAAATAAAGTAAAATGTTCAGAAAGGGGGAAGAATTTTAAGGTGTTTTTTTTTTCATAAAATTTATTCAAAATCTAAACTTATATGCTTCAAATTATTTATTAAATAAGTTTAAGTGTTGATATTTTTATTTTTTAGAGGTTATTATCGTATTACATATTGGCTTAATTTTTTATATAACCAAAATTGAGTCATAAAAATTCAAAAATTATTAAGATTCATAATAATTGTTAATGAATAAATTGAATTATAGTTATTGTATTCATTTAAAAAAAATCGTCAAACAAAATAAGTTTAAGACGCCGTCTTTTTGATGCTTGCATCCATAAACAAGTTAATCAATTATTTGCATTGTAAATCTATACTAATATTGTATAGAGGCAAAGTTTGTTTATTTGTTTGTTTGAACGCGCTTATCTCAGAAAATACTAATACGGTTTGAGAAATTCTTTTTTAGGCCTTAGCCATCTGGGCACCTCGGTCGAGTCATGCCTTTGGCGCCGTTTTAGGTATATGTACTTATTACATTACAATTAAAAAATAACGTGTGTATGTACTTATGTACGCACGTAAGAAGTTATACTTCTTTGGCGTAACAGAAAAAATATAGCTAAAGATTTCATTCCATGTATCACAACTCTGCTGTTTTTTTACTTTCATTTTACTCTCATATTTTTTTCCAAACGTGCCAAAAGAAGTATAACTTTTAAATTATATTTTGAATTTGTACCATATCTTTTATTAAATTTTAATTTTTGTTATATTACACTGTGTATAAATTGAGTACAACATTATATTCATTCATTTCTATTTAAATGACGGTCTCTTAGATTATAATTTTCATTTTGTCTGACAATATAAAGTGCACAGACCAAGGAATGAATAGACAGCGTCATAAAATTAAACATGAAGCCAAACAATGTTTTAATCTCCCTTTTAAATGGAAGAGATAGTTTTCTTTTGTATTTTTAAGTACAAATATGTACTTAAAAATATAAAAGAATTTACAAGTTTTTTTATTATTCATATTTTCTTCTCAAAAATTAATGACTAACATCCACATATATATGATTTCCCTTTGAAGATAGCAAACGAGCTGTATTGGAAAATTTAGAATAGTGGCATAAAAATAAATTCACGCTAGAATTTTTGACTTTGACTTTTTTGTGTCGGACTCCGTCTGTATGTAATCTTTAGTTTGAGATAAGTAATGTTTAGACAGTAATGCTTTAGATTTTTTTAGCTATATAGACTTTAACTGTTCATTTTAATATATTATCGACACCTGCTAAGAACAACATTGTAACTTAGTATTAAAGCAATTGCAAAATGAAATCTGACTTAAGATTAATTTCCATTTTTTTTTATCTCAATGATCGAGTTACAACTTTGTTCATGCGAGTGGTCATATTGAATGTCATTAATCATTATAACGTAATGAAAAAATATTTTTATAACAGTTAAATTTTGCATGATATAATTATTTATAATAAAATATTTTAAAAGGAGACTGAGATACAAATGATAAATATATAATGTTGACCCCAGCTTTTAAGTAGTAGTAGTAGCCGTTCAGCTCTTTTTTAACGTCCCATTGCTGGGCGTGGGACTCTTCAATACGAGGGGGATCAGGCCATACCTCCACGCTGGCCAAATACGGGCGGACTTCACATGTCTTTCGAAAATATGCAGGTTTCCTCACGATGTTTTCCTTCACCGTAAGACAAGTGGTAATAAAGTTGGAAAAGATTCGCACATGCAAATATCAGAAGTGCATGACCCGGGATTAGAACCCCCAACACTCGGTTTTCTAAGCGAGCACGTTACCACTAGGCTACCACTGCCTTTAGCTTTTCAGAGAATTAGTATCTACTCTCAGTTCAAAAGCTTATTTAGATTTAACTTATTAATTCAAGACATTTTCATTTTCATTATAATAATAATTCATAACAAACGGACGGATAAAGCTATTAAATATACTTAACTGTAATATTATGTAAAAAAAACTTATATTTTTAATTTAATTTCCTTGGTTTTTTTCCTATATAAGGGTAGCTGCAGATATATGTGTTATCTATTAATGAAATCAATTATATTTTTAACCGACTTCCAAAAAGGAGGAGGTTTTCAATTCGTCTTTATTTTCTTTATGTATGTTCACCGATTACTCAGACGCCTGGACCGATTTGGAAAATTTTGCGTTTCAAAGGGCATACTTTCCAGGTGGTCCCATATAAATTTTATCGAAATCGGTCAAGCGGTTTTTTTTAAATCAACAATAAATATATATTTTAAATAAATTGTTTAATTTTCGAAGTCGGTGCCAGACGACAATATTTTAAAAGATGAATATCTAATAGGTAAATATATATTTTACGTATCGAAATATTAGATTTCCTTTGCATCGGCTGGCACCGACTTCGAAAATATGTGATTAGGTATCTATTCTAAATGAAAACCTCCGTTTAGTTATTTTTTACATTTTAGTGCCTGGAAGTCTGTTTTTATTTTTTTTTAAAAGTCTTTATTGTTTTTTTTATTATAAAGTATGTAAAATTAAAGTTTTGCTTTTAATGGCTTATGATATAATAAGAATTAGACAGTACTAATAAGGTTATTTATTAGCTTTTACGAGTCAATTTTGAGTCTCATTCGGATAATATAAAATAATAGAATGTTTAAAATTCTTAAATAAAAATAAATAAAATTTAAACTTGGCTCGTTTGTAGCTGGCCTTATTGAAGTAAATATTTTTTGTACTGTATATTATTAACATATTTAACTCGTGTGGTATCTTTTATTTATTGTAAAATTGTGCATTTTGCTTATTCTATTCTATATAATATATAGTCTATGGTATAAAATGTTATTTAAGAGCTTTATTTTTAGGAAAATGAACTGTTTGTTTGTAGTTGATCATTCGTAAGTTACGTCATTTAGGATCATATTAAGTTTGTTTTTTATATTACTAGGAATAAAGGGAATTAACAAATTAGACCTATTTTAAACTTTGCTTAAATATATATAAATAACACATATATGAAGAGTTGTCTTTAAACTCGTTATTTTTAATGAATTCTCTCTGTATTTATAAGAAAAATGCTAATAAATTATTATTTTTATTTTTAAATATTGATTTAAAATAAATAGGCACTGACTTCAAAGACCTTTATAATTAATTATACATATATATAATTTAAATGTTATAATTGAGAAATTAATTTTTATTAAAATTATTTTTGAAATGTCATAAATAATCGCAATAATGTTGCTGTGATGTAAAATAATTCCAAAAGTGTTTTTTTTATTTTTTTTTTAAGTATTTAATCTCAAAACAGTACTTTTGAATTCCAAATTTTTTTACTAAAATTTCTTACGTCTAAATAATAAAATACTTACTAATTAAATATCGAGTTGGATTTTACTTTGTCCGTTTATTATTTATATACAAATATGAAGTTAAAATAAAATTATATTTATAATATGTCACCTGTATTAAAAAATATAAATATCTCATTTCTAAACACGAATATAGTACGAAATGACGCTAAGTTTGTTATGTTATGAACGTTGATCGCAATAAAGTTACTTAAAGATTTTAATGTGTTTTTATTCGTTTTGCAAGTTTTTTCCGAGCTTCGAGTGTTGCTGTGACATCGCACGCGCTGCATCTGTAACATTCAAGTTTATATTTGACTTCGAAAATATCTGATTAGGTATCTATTCTAAATGAAAACCTCCATTTAGTTATTTTTTACATTTTAGTGCCTGGAAATCAGTTTTTATTTTTTTGTTAAAAGGTTTTTATTTTTCCATTTTTAGTGTAGACGTTAGCAGGTAATTTGTAAGAAGAAAGTTTTTTAATAACATATTCCATTAAACAATTTATTTAAAAAAATATTTATTGTTGATTTTTTAAAAGACCGCTCGACCGATTTCGATTAAATTTATATGGGACCACCTGGGAAGTATACTCTTTAAAACAAAAAAAATCCAAATCGGTTCAGGCTCCAAATCCAATCTTCGAGTAATCGGTGAACATACATAAAAAAAAGAGATTCCGACGAATTGAGAACCTCCTCCTTTTTGGAATTGGAAGTCGGTTTAAAAATGTTGATCCAGACATAAAACAACAACTAACTACTACCGAACTTCACTGAAATCCATAATACAGCGTGAATAAATAACAAACATTTACGACGCGACTTAGATACCGTCGGTTCGCTCGCGTGCTTCTATAGGTCAAGTCTAAATAAATAAATATATTGGGACATTAGCACACAGCACCATCTAGTTCCATTGTAAGCTACGAGACTTGTGTTATGGATACCAGATAGTTGATACACTACACATATGTAACTTTAAATACATACATATTATAAATATAGACACCCATGACTGGAGTACAAATATTCGTGCTCATCAGACAAATAAATGCCCCCAGCGGGACTCGGAACTCGCGAACGCTGGCACAGTAAGTAGTGTTACTACAAACTGAGCCAAACGTGTCGTCACAAGTCTATGTATCTGTATACTCTTACACCAAAATCCATCCAGTATTTTCATACAAACTTTCAAATTAATAATCATAGTTCGATTGTGATACATACTTAGTAGTTCTCGCTAAGTAGAACTCTCTCCGAGGGTCACAGTAGCTGCGCAGCTGGCGGCCGTCCCACGACACTGAGTCCATGCGCCACTCAGGGGACACGTACGGTGCCCGGAGTTTCTCTAGTTTTATCTGTACTAAAATAATTTTGTTATGTTCATTCATAAAAGGCGAACGAAGTAGATTCATTTAAGAAGCTAGTTTTCAATAATATTAGGTTCAATATGATTTTTTGATAAGTAATTTCTGCTATAAAACTAACGCAATAATGTAATTAGTGGTATGTATTAATATCATCTATACTAATATTATAAAGAGTTAAAGTTTGTGAATTGTAAGTTTGTGACGTTGTAGGGGGTAATCTCTGGATCTACTAAACCAATTTAGATGAAATTTGGTAAGAAGATAGTTTGTAATGTTTTATCCCGGAAAACGTCCCTTAAGGGGATGAAAATGGGGATAAAAGTTTGTATTGGGCAGCAAGCTAGGGACGAACCCGAGCGAATCGATGGTGAGTCGCTAGTTAGGTATAAGGATGTTCCGTGTCAGTTGAAGGAGATATTATAGTTCGTGTTTTTATTTGAACTGTAAAAATCCTTTTTCATTTCATAGCTAATTCTGAAGAAAGGCCATCTTATCTAACATCACACTGAAAGAAAGAAGTGACGCTACATACATAACTAAATTGCGCAAACGGACTCACCGGCAAAAGCTATCTACTAATAAAGGATATCTCTAATGTAAGTATGTGTAAAGTACTGACCGGGTTAGCAGGCGCTGGTCTCCCGGGGAAAGGGGCACGTATATTGGTACTAAACGAGTCTTGAATACCGTCGCGCATCGCTCTCTGTGCCGTTGACGAGTAAATGTCTTGTATTAAGAGCTTACGTGATCTAGAGTATAAAAATAATATTATAGAAGCTATAGATAAAATAAGAAAAATATATTATATTACACATCATAATATGATTACCTGTGAAATTTTACATTTTTTTCTGATTTATTTTTAATATTATACTAACGGTAGCCTTTGTGTTATTCCAGGTTATAGTCTATGTACTATACTAATCCGTCCAGCTGTTTCAGCTTAAAGAAGTAACAAACACACATACAAACTTTCGCAATAAGGAATATGCGTGCGATTTAAATAAAAGTGTTTTTTTTTATAATCTTTATTACTTTTCAATATGAATTGATGAAAATACTTAATTATTAAAAAATACAAAAACAGGTGGGAAATTCAAAGTAGGTGAAACGCAACGCCATTGGTCAGATAGAATATGACGTCAGAGTATTATCATATCAGAGCGATTAGATGAGCATTAGAGAGCATATGATCACAGAAATGATAAAATTAAATCTTTAAATTGCCTGGTGAACTCTTATAAACGAAAGTTGTGCATTTCTTAAATTTCTATATCTACTTATTTTACGAGAAAACATATCAATAAATTATAAATATGATTCAATTTTTAAAAGTATTAATATAATAATTTTACTCTGGCACATCTATATCATCCATGCTGACGGCTGGCGTCATGACGAGACGAGGTCGAGTGTTCTTCGCATGCTCCCAGCCCAAGTCCGGCGATTTTTCCTAAATATATAGGAATGTCTTGTCATTGTACAAATGAAGTTTTAACTAGCGCTAGCTCACGCCTATTCATTTAAAATGCCCCGTATAGTCCTTTATATGAGATAGTCAGGGAGCTCAAGCTCTATATCTACTAAAAAGCTGAAAGGGATGTTTGTTTGAATGCGCCCTTTGTTTAGATTTTTACATTTTATACTTCGATCAACAATAGTATTGTTCATCAAAACGCTAGCTTATATTGTAGTTTTTGTTAAAAATATATATATTAATGAACTATCGCTATCAACCATTGCTCAGAAAATCGACTAATTGACACGCTTATCGATTATCGTATATTATTAATTACTACCTATGTATAAGTAGATATAGTGGCAGCAGGTGCAAAGTAATAATTATTATATACTATCAGCTTACATAGCGTTGTTGGACTTTCCAAGGATTTGTTCGGACGACGTCTTTTGGTTTTAATAATAAATCGAAGGGTACGTTTGGTGTTTTCCACTCTGAAAGCGTGTGTATGTCTTTTAGTGCCGGGGGTCGTATTCTGTAGCAGCTGGGTTTTTGTTGGTATACGGTTTTTACAATGGGTCTAATTTCACCATCTCGGTACTCCGTTCTATTAGATGTCTCATAGTTAAATAACATCCGTTCGTATCGGTCCGGCATTTCCAGAATAAGTATGTTATAATATAAAAAAATACTCGAAAATATAAAGAATAGCAAAATTTATATGAGTGTAAAAAGTCACGGACACATCTGAAAAGTATTGTAGGTACTTATCAATTTTTTACAATAGATGTCATTTAAAAATATTTAATTTGTTAAAAAGAGGTTTTATTAAACAAATAATAATTTTCTCCTGACTTTTTAATACAAAACACTACATTTATTAATTTCTTCCCTCAATTTTCCGTCAATCAAGTCTATTCTATAAAAACCAAAAATTATACTTCTAAAAAAACTATACCTCTAATAAACAAAATATTATGTGTACATAGCACATATACATACATGTACATAGCACCTAGCACAAATACCTATGCCTAATATGAACGAAATTTAGAACCTCAATTTTTTTTTGTTGTCTGCTTCACGTAATATGCCCCTTAAGACGAAATATTTACTTATTTCCATATTTATTTTGGAGAAATAGGCGTGATCTTAAGGAAGATACAATAAAAAAATACAAGTTAATTATTTTTTTACAAATATTTTACTTAGATAAAAAAAATCATTTCTAAAAAATGTAATTTACTGGCAACCATAAATGAATAATAAAACTGGCAACACTTATTTAATTAGATTTTGTTACCTCTTTTTTAATGTTGGGAAATGCTGCTACCATGAACGAATTAGAGACAATTCGTTCATGGCTGCCTACAGCCTGTTTGTCTACAGGTGGTTATGTGGGACTCACCAGCTAGAAAAACCAGTACTACCCACTAAAACCCAACAAAACCTCCCCCGTCTTAATGGAGCCCGACACCCCGACGGCAGGTCTGCCGAGGCCGGAAACAGACCACAACACCCATGGCATTGCTCCAGCGGTCCACTCTGTCGTCAGAGAAGTACCAGGAGCAACCCGCATAGTACACCGCCTACCGAAGTGGGCTACCTCCCTGTGCGTATTTGGCCTCGCGCCCGGCTGAACCGCCGTATGCTAAAGCATAAACCCCCACCAAGCTTAAACATAACATTTTCTTCATAAAATATAACAATAAATACAACAATATTCGTACAGATAATTATTTCATTTATTATGAAAAAATAATATTATTAATTAAATTATTATAAGCAAATTGGATAATTCTACAAAAAAAAACTTCAGACCTTCTAAAAAAAAAACGATTAAAATCTTAATTAAAAATAATCGTTTCGGGCGACCTAAAATTTTTATTATATTTAATTATACCTATAGTATAAAATAATTATTTGTTTCTATGATTAGACATTTTTCTATGTCCTTGGACCATCGTTGTTTGTTCACAAGCCTTACATCTGAAAATATTAAATATTGTTTTTATGATACCTATATATGTTCAAAATTAATTTATTCGTTTAAATTAATTGTAGATAGTACTTAGGAGGTTCTCGAGAAAGCCAAAACTCTTTCGTGGGGTCACAATAACCCCGCAATTGCTTTCTATCCCACATGACGGAGTCCATCCGCCATTCTGGAGATACGTAGGCTGGTTTAAGTTTTGGCAATGTTATCTGAAATACATACATACGTATGAGCGTGGAAGAAAAAAATGTGTCTTTGGTGTATATATATTTTATGTAATACTAGCGGCTCACCCTCGCTTCGCTCGGGTTCGTCGCTAGGTACGTTTTAAATAGATATAAAAAGAAAAAATCTTTCTTTCTCACATTTTAATTATATGTTTTAATACTTACCTATTCCGGACTAAGAGAAATCCAAAAATTAAAATATCATAAAAATTGGAACGCGGTCGAACGGGATAAAAAGTATCCTATGTCCTTCTCCTGGCTCTAAACTACCTCCCTGCCAATTTTCAGCTAAATCGGTTCAGCCGTTCTTGAGTTATAAGCGAAGTAACTAACACGACTTTCTTTTATATATATAGATATATATTTTTTAAGTAGGTTTTATTTTCCATTGTTCTGCATCAGAATTATACTTTCTTATGGAAAAGGTAAAAAATATTAGTATGAAATTAATTCACAATTATAAACTAAATTATGTATGTGTGTGTATGTTTTTCAAACGATTGGATTAAAAATTTATCTCCTAGATAGAATATAATCTGGAGTAAAATATAGGCTACTGGGAGTAATAAAATTTGGCAAAATATGGTGTTATCTGTATACATATTATAACATTATAATAACAGAACACCCGAGGAAGCCCCCAAATGAAGTGAGGTCAAGTTTCTTGTCAGAATACAATTTCAGATCAATCAATCAAATGTAATCTATACATATAATAAAATTGTAACCAAGCCGAATCTGTACATTAGATATTTTTTGGAAGATCATATTGAAATAAACATTATTATCGATACAGAGGCTGAATCTTTAGTTTTTAGAATTTTTGTCTGTCTGTCTGTTACCGCATCACACCACCGGAGGGATTTATAATTAAATTTGGTATGGTGATAGCTGGTTATCCGGGTCAACATATAGGATATTTTTTACCGGGAGAAAATGTCTCATTTCTGAGAAAAAATACAAATACTGCAATGTAAGAGTATACTAATATGTAAAACCTAAGAAATTAGTTTTTGGTCTTCTGAACGCGAGCGGAGCCGCGGGCAATGCTAGTAAAAAATAAAAATCTAGTATCACTAACAGGATTCGCAGGCGCCGGAGTTCCAGGTAAAGGCGCTTTCAAGCTATTACAAGGAGTGATCGCTTCCCTCATAGCTCGAGTCATGACGCTAGTGTACATGTCTGTGCATAGAATGTTGCGGGCGCGTTCGTCCTCGATGTCGTCCATACTCACTGCCGGCGTCATCACGAGACGGGGGCGGGTCTTTTGAGCTTGTTCATGGTCTACGTCTACTGGTTTCTCCTGCAGATATTGTTATATTTTGATTTATAAGGTAAGACTTGCTCGTTGATCTAGTGGCTAATATGTACAGCTGTATATCCGCACGGCCTAGGTTCGAGCCTCGGGTCTGGCCAAGTGTATTTAGTTAATTATTATTGGCTTTATTTCTATGATCATCGTAGATTCGGAGGTCCAGGGTTCGAATCCTGGGTCGGATCAAGAATAGTAATTGGGTTTTTATATCAAAAAACTCTCAGTAACAGCCCGGAGTGAAGTTGGTGGTATTTCACCTTTAGGCCTCGTAGAGCACGTTAATCCGTAGATATTGCGCCTGCGCCTGCAACAGTCGTGTCTACCCACCGGAGTTTAAGAGCTTTTAGTGACACTTGGCTGCTGTAGCCGAAATTGGTCAGAAGTTCATTGTTATATTATATTTTGTGACTATTTTAAGTATGCTTCAAAATTATAAAAACTAGTTACTAAAGCAAAAACTCTCTTCTATGCTTATAGGTTATTTTATGAATATGTTAAAATCCAAACTAAGATCTACATTGTGAAAGGCAAACAATTATCATACATACATAATACGGCTGCACGTTATTTGGATTAGTTCTTAAAATGTCTTTAGGCTTATGTAGAAGACTGAATGGTGGCATTTTCCCTTGCCACTTGGCCAGAGTGTGAATGTTTTTATATTCTGGTTCTCCACGTTTGTATCGCGAGAGTTTTTCTTTATATATCGTTTTGGGATACTCGCGAATCTCACCGAAGCGATAGTCAGTTCTATACGTAGTTTCGTAATCATAAAGCATAGATTCAATTCTTTGAGTCTCTTGCATTGCTTTTAGGTTACTGTCAGTCTTATTTTAATTATTTAACGTGTTTTAATATCTTGAAGTAAACTTATAGCAAAAACGAGACATTTTATGACAGCATTTTGATAGATCATAGAATTATTTTGTCTGTCATCTACCTACTTGTTGTGTGCCTAAATAATTTATAAATTGCTGTATCATTTTTGATGCTCAAAAGAAACCAAGCAACTTTAACGTTATATTGTGTAGATTTTAGAATTGAAATTAAACATTAATCTCCATCGTACAAGCTGATTATGGTATTCAGTGACAATTAATCCATCGTACAAGCTGACAAAGAATAGATAAAGGTTCAAGAATATTTAAAAAAACCTATAAAATGCCAAGTTAAGTCATATCATTAGGTTACAATTTGGCTGTTTATGTTAAAATATCTCTCGACCAATCTCCCTCGTTCCTTCTACATTCTACGTGACATTGTCGAAGTAATCTGTGCTCAACTGGTACCATAGAGTATATTGCTACATATAACTGGCACGCTTTGAAGCCATTAACAAGAGAATTGAATTGAATTGAAAAATATCAGTATGGAACAATTCATATCATCATTATCATATCAATAACTGCTACAAAATGAGTGAATTTAATTTTCAATAGCTCAAATTCGGCCTATTATTATTATTAAACTGATTTTTATTTATTTATTTAACAGGTTTATATTCCTATGCAACATTTATATATATATATATATATATATATATAAAGTATTGGTCTTCACAAGTATACCAATTATAGGTATTCACAACACGGGTTTTTGCTAAAAGCTAGCTTTCGTATTAATTCCCTGGTAACAGGTATGCTAAAAATGAATCTATAGCTATGACGATGCAGGCCATAAGCTTTAATATTTCCATTTCAAATTTATCTCAACTCTATTAAGCCGTGAAGATGAAACAAACGCACAAACAAACTTTTATTATATATATTACTGTAAAAAAAACGGTAAAAAATGAAAGATAATAGTATATCTTATAATTTTATTCAAATCCACCAAATAAATTACACCACGGTAACACGTAACACTTAACAAATATAATGAACATACAAAATAAATTACATTTTATATTATATCACAAAATAGTAATGCGATAAATTAATATTGCCCACGTTCAGAGTTAATATACATAGCTATATAAACAAAAAAACCCTAAGGAAGTTTCGCATTTGAAGACTGAGTTTGCTAAAGAAAACTATTTTTTGTAAAGACCAAATAATATAAAATCGTATTACAAAAATATAATTAAAATGTCTGCAGTCAACAAAATAAAATCATTTTTTCTTATATTTAAGAAACTTAAGTGTCCAAAACCTTAGATTGTAGAGGAAATTTAATATTGCAAGGAACATGTACTTTTCACTATTTAAGCTATATTATATCGAGATAATAATAAATACGAGATCATTTGAAGGGTATAGACAAAGAACAGGCAATGTCCTAATGAATAGATTATGAGAAAAAAAAGCCATTTGAAATTCGGAAGTTATCTATACACATAATAAAATTGTAACTAAGTCGAATCTGTACATTAAATATTTTTTGGAAAATCTCATTTAAATAGACATTATTATCGATACAGAATTCGAATCTATAGTTTTTAGAATTTTTGTCTGTCTGTTACCACATCACGAGAAAAGTACTGGACAGATTATGATGAAATTTGGTATTATGGTAGCTGGTTATCCGGATCAACATATAGGATACTTTTTACCGCGGGAAAATATCTCATTTCTGAGAAAAAATACAAAAACTGCATTGTAAGAGTATACTAATATGTAAAACCTAAGAATTTGGTTTTTGGTCACCTGAAAGCGGGCGGAGCCCCGGGCAATGCTAGCGTCTAATATTTTTATTGAGTATCAAAGTATGTGGTAACTTTAAACCATGTTCATTGTACATTTTTGGACAATCATCCTTCTTCACCGGTATGTCATGGACATTCCTAGTTCTTTTCGCTTTGGGCACAGATAGAAACGTATTTTTAGCGACATCTGTTGAGTATTTGTAGAAACAACTGGTTGAGAATGCAATTACCATAGACATAGATTTGTTACCAGTACAAAACAAAAAAAAGCAGTCATGAGGTCTGACAGAACTGAAAACTTAAAACTATAAACAAACAGTTGTTAGTTTTGGATATTTAAATTAATTGTTTGATGTTAAATTAAAATTGTTTACATTTATCTGGTTTTGACATCTATCGGCACTCTGAGTGTTAGCGTTAACACGTCACGTGAAGTTTTCACTTCAAAAACAAAAAAAAATTTACATTCCATGTTCTTTGCGTGTACCCTTCATTTTAGATACAATAATACAAAAATATTAAGTAGATCTCTTTAACTAAATAGTAGCTTTCACTCGATTCTAAGAGACTACACTTTTAACATATTATTATTGTTATCTAACGACCTAACGAGGAAAGCATATCAGGTACGCTGTTTCAACTTTTGAATTTTCCTTATATTTAATTAGAGATATTAAATTGAAAAAAGCTATTTGAATTTCTTTACACAAGCTTCAAAAAATATTAAAATTTGGCCACTATTGTGTATAGTCTTGAAATGTTGTTTCTGAACTGGTATTATAGTATGATTTTTTTTTTGAGTTATGTAAAATGTAATATTGAAAAATGTCTTAATTCTTCAATTAGTTTTAAAAGTGTCTAAAATATTAAATAATTTAGAAAATAAAGGACGCAAATATATAGCACTAAATAAAATTTTAATAATAAAACAATATTTTATAAAAACACGACTCCATTGTTCGAAATACATTTATATACAGATAATATATGACTTCACAATAATAAAATAACTAAATTTTACAAAAAATATACACTTTACAATGAAATTGATAAGCTTTCTATTGTATATTTAGAAATTGTAAACATGGCATCGATTATTAAAAATATATGTATTTTAATCTATCCTTACTTACGGTGATGGCGAAAAGTTGAAAATGGCGCCAAAAAAGTGACGTTTGGTAAATATGGCGGCCGCTAAAACAACAGATGGAATAGAAAAAGAAGGATTTGCAACAAGAACAGTAGTGCTGTGGACGCACAATAAGTTAACGGACGATATTTTTGGTCTATTTGTCAATCGGGCACATTCAGTTCGGTCCAGATGGGACAGAAGGGGGATGCTGGGCCTCCCCACGACCACCCGCGAGGTATCGCGAGATGACACAGACCAGATTTGATTGCTCCTGAGTGGCCATTAAAATTGCTCTTATCTATGGTTCCGGGGCACAAGATAACACTCTGGCCGGCTGTGTTCGGATCCACTGAGGTAACTATGGCTTGGTCCAATAACGATTCGCAATTCCTTAGCGCTGAAACAGAATAATTACATGTTTATTTCTTTTTAACGACTAAATAGTGATTTTAATGATTCTAGTTAACAATAAAATTGCCAGCGCGCCTGTAAAATTAATTGAGTCATAAAATATTTAATGATTTCGAATTCTCGAAAAGTATGTGTGAAACAAAAAGAATCTCTTGGAATTATATTCGAAAATTCTCGCTCTTTCTCTTTCTTTTGAAGTTCTAACTGAAGCAGAAAACTGTATTTCAGAAGCTATTTCAAAATTTAATAAAACTTTAAATAGCCAGTAAGTAGTCAATGCCCCTTGCATTTTATTTTTACACATGATGTGACGATTCGTGTACTTACATCTTACTTAAAATTTAACAATAACTAGGCAAAACGTCAAATAAATTTTCAACAGATAAAAAATTATAAATTTTCTATATTATATTTTTCATTACCAATTTATTTATACCTAATACGATTTTTTTATTACTTATACCTACTTATGTATATCTAACACGCAAGTGGTAGTACAGGGGTAACGCGCTCGCTTGGGAAACCGAGTGAAGTGGGTTCAAATCCCGGGTCTCACACCTCTGATATTTTCATGCGCGAATCATTTCTAACATGATTACCACTTGTCTTACGACAAAGGAAATCAACGTGAGAAAACCCAGTGGCCAGCGTGGTGGACTATGGCCTGATCCCCCTCGTATTGAAGGGAGGCCCGTGTCCAGCTATGGGACGTGAAAAAGGGCTGCGGAAACTTGAAAATATCAATAAATCTACCTATTATTATCATCATATTCATTATCATCATACCTCTTACAAAAGCCGTAAAAATACACATATTAAATATTCAAAAAAATTTCTATGTAACGAAAACCATCGAACCGTTATGTACGCTACTTTATGTAAAGGTTGTGCCCTTCCGTTCCAAACGAGGGCGCAATATACATACATATGTACCGTCTTTAACTTTGAAATATAAATTATGTATACACATCGCGTACAATTAATCATTTAAATACGACATTTTAATTATCTACAAGCGATATTGCGTAAATGTATGGTTTACAATGTTTGTTATCAATAAAAAGCTAATTTATTTATCAATAAATCGGGCAAAGAATTTGAATTTTTCTAAGTCTATGTAATTAATTTGTGTTAGGGCATTATTTATAAACGATTTCAAATGTGAAGTTTTGCTCAATTCAACTGTATTTTTAGGGTTCCGTATCGCAAAAGGATAATCTATAGGGTTACTTTCCATCCCCTTTCCATCATCGGACAACCCGACGAACGGCTGGTCTCCATCCTTATGTCGTGGACATTCCACACGTCCGCACGAAGCGTTTCGCTACGTCATTTATCATACGTACGGCTAAGGATTGGAACAACCTGCCTGCGTCAGTGTTTCCGTCCGATTACAATATGGGTGTCTTCAAGGCAAGAGTGAATATGTGGCTACTGAATTAGTTCGACTTACCATCTACGACTGCGTCACCACTTACCATCATGTGGAACGTAGTCAAGCATTAATTCAGAATAGTATAAAAAAAAACTTCGTTTTCCGACTGTCTTTCTGTCTGTCAAGACCCTGTTTCTCATGAACGCGTGGAGGTATAAAGTTGAATGGACTTTGAAATCACTTTTATGGTAATTATTTATTATAAAGGATAGATTATTTAACAGTATCGTAGCAACAAATAGTAGGTAGCAAGTCGAATACAAAGCAGCAAAATTTCCTATTAAAATTAAGAAAGCTTATGAGCAAAACCTTCTCGTTATAATTCTATACTTCAGTCTAAATCTGCAAAATCTATCACGTTTGAGCGACAAGTGTAATAGTTCTAATGAAGTCCATTGATCAAAACCAGCTTGTGATGTGTGCATACAAATTCGCGTTGTATGGACGCTACGGTATTTTTAGATCTTGAATGTGAAAGGTCGAAAATCTTTTTAGATGTACTGGATTTTGTTACTAAATAGGTCACTTTTTTATTTTGCTTTTTGTGTTATACTAATGTACGGCCGCGGTTTTGCTCGCGTAAAAAGTTAAGTGCTAGTATACCATAAAGCTGTTTATTGACACAATATAAATTAAACAAAAGTGCAAAGTGAGATACGAAAGAGTTTAAATTTCAATACAACTAAAATTTAGCAACGTAACTCTTTAAATAAATATGTCAGATAATAACTAGTAATATACGATGTAAAAATGTAGCGTTTAAATAAAAAATTTAAAACTTAAAACCAGCTTTTTACTAACTGTTAGTAATAATGGCTAATCCATTACATTTTAAATTTTTGCTATTTTGCTACGTTTTAAATGAAAATTACTGCATACATTTAATTTCGCAATGTGCGGGTTTTCTTTCATTTCTATTTATTTCAAATTATATTTCAACGTCAGGGAACCGAGTTAAACGCAAAGAAGCTAAGCGTATTTAAAAACTCGTCTGGACGGAGAATCTTACTAAAATCATAAACGTAAAAGTTTGTATGTATGTATGTATGTATGTTTATTTCTCACGCATAAAACTATTGAATAAATTTCGATGAAACTTTACAGTAATATAGTTTAAAGAACAATGTAACGCAACGGCTATATAATAAATAAATATGTTGGAACATTAACACACAACACCATCTATTTCCATGGTAAGATACGAGGCCTGTGTTATGGATACCAAACAGTTGATACTACACATATATAACTTTATATACATACATATTATAAATATAAACACCCATGACTGGAGTACAAACATTCGTGCTCACACAAAAGAATGTCCCCAGCGGGACTCAAACCCGCGACCGCTGGCATAGCATGTAGGGTCACAACCAACTGAGCCAAACGTGTCGTCAGATAATAATTTATGAAGATATATTAATTATAATTTATAAGATACTAGCAGAATCCGCGACTTCGCTCGCGCTAAAACTACAAAAATAAACTCTAAAATGGTAGGTTCCATACAAACTTTCATCCGCTATTTTACCCCCTTATTATGTGTTTTCTCGTGGGAAAGAGATAATTTCCCGCGGTAAAATGTAGCCTATGTCACTCTTCAGCCCTCCAACTATCTCCACAAAAATAATCACGCTAATCCACCAAACCGTTTCGACGTGAAAGAAAGACAAACAAACAAACAAACAAACAAACAAACAAACACTACACACTATCACATTTATAATATTAACAACACGCGCGATAGTGATAGTTTTAAGAAGCGAACAAAAACTCATTTATGGGTAAAAACGAATGGAATAAACCCAAACGGTAAAGTTTATTAGCAGTCATTAATGATCCAATCATACACCTGGATACTGATGATATCGAGATGATTACATCAGCTCGATGGTATCAATAAAAAATGTATTGGCCATTCGGATTAGATATCTATTATTCTAAATATGAAAGTGTGTGTGTTTGTTTGTTTGTCCTTCTTTCAAATCGAAACAGTGAGGATTGGCGTGATTTTTTGTGTGAAGATAGTCGGAGGGGCTACTTTTTACCGTGGGAGATTATCTTATTGCCACGGGAAAACACGTTATAATGCATTATGCAACCCAAACATTTTTGAGTTTTTTAATAGTTCTAGCGCGAGTGAAGCCGCGGGTTCTGCTAGTACTTTTTAAGTATGAAATCTATACGACAGTTAGGAAGAGAGTATTAACGACTAAAAGGTTATATAAAAGCGTGTCAATAAAAAGAGTTGCGTCTCACGATTGATTCACTTAGGTTTTCCTATTATGTGTATTTTTTTGGAACCTACATCGAAAAGTGGTCGGGTAATAAAACGCCTATATGAGTTTTTGGGCAATTGATATAGTACTATACAAGCTGTAGGCTATTTTATTATATGTGACGTGTGACGTTCATACAAAAACTTTCAATATATTCGAATTTTACATTTGTCCAGGCCAGTTTTTCTATTTGTCAAGTTGTCAAGTTCGCTGTTCAAGTGGTGTACTTACGTTTTAACGTTTACTATAGATTTCTCAGAGATAAGATATTTTCCTGCAGTAAAAAGTATCTTATATGTTGACCAGGACAACCAGCTAGCAGTCATTATACCAAATTTCATCAAAATCCCTCCAATGCTTTTTCCGTGATGCAATCATACGCAAACCGACAAAAATTCTAAATATAAGTTCGGCCTCTGTATTAATAATAAATAATGTCTATTTCAGTAAGATTTTCCAAAAAAAAAAAATTAATGCACAGATTCGGCTTAGTTACAATTTTATTACATATATGTATAGATATAGATATTCATTGTTTCCAGCCAGGCCAGTTTTCATCGGCCCATGAACTAGCCAATACATAAAATGACTAAACTGAAATCTGATTAATATGTGAAAAATGTAATAAACCAAAAGCACGCATTTCTAATATTAATACGGACTAATATACATTTATCTGTATGCTTCCAGCGATAAGGCCGCTTGCTGTGCATCTTTTCTTTGTGTTGTTTTTTTCTTTTATATTTATTTTTGGTGTACAATAAAGAATATTATTATTATTATTATTATTATCTGCAATAACTATAATTTAATCACTTTATATATAATTAATCTAACCACGCGACAAAATAAGGAACACCGAGGTCACAGCAATTAGTCTCATAATTTAAGATTCACCACTACATTAATTCGTTGGCTCACTATTACAAGGTTCTATGTTACAATTTTAGTACTTATCTAGTTATTAATGCTACAAGGTTCTATGTGTCATTAGCTACAGTTTTGCAAAAACAAACCACTAGATAGCGGCATTATAACTACAAAATATTCAATTTTACATAGTTCTATGTTGTTTTTTTTTACGATAACAAAATAACGCAGTTCTATGTAAAAATTACAAAACTTCATTAAAATTAACATAGAACCTTGTAATAGTGAGCCAACGAATTATGAGTATGAGTAATGCTCAAAGGTCGTTCCAACACAAACAAAGGGACCATTATTATCATACCGAATAACTAATAGTTTATCACAAAACTATCAAGATGT